GAGTGCCGCACGATCTCGACACCACTCATCCGCTTGCTTTCGTTACCAAAAAGCCCGACGCTAAGGTGCGATATCACTGCGCATATGGCAAATTTCCATAAAACGAAATTTGCTTCCATTGAAAATAAAAGAGATCGACAAGTGTGCTTTGAAATAGTTAATATTTTATTGCGGTGTTACTGAATTATAATAGACTTATATATGTTGTAGGTGACGGAAGATGACTTAATCAACTACGTGGCGAACAATATGACGTATCAGTACAAGCTTCGTGCTGGTGTCATATTTCTGGAAAAATTTCCATATACAGGATCTGGGAAAATTTCGAGGAAAGAAGTGAAAGCAATGGCAAAGAAACTAACTGGCCAAGTTAAACAAATGTAGTTCAGATGAAAGTACTTTCTTAATCGAGAATTAATACTTGATTTTTAGTTTAAAAACTAAAGTAGGTATTGATCGATATAAGAATACAGATTCTGATGTTAGGTTCTTGTTAAGTAAATAATAATATAGTTTATACCAATATACATAATTTCAAGTTAGAAGTAAGGTCATTATCAAGCAAATTATAAATAAACGGGAAATGTAATGTCAAAGAGAAAAAACAAGATTAAAAATTATCAAAATGACACAGAGTTCGCGTTACTTATTTATTCCCTGAATAAAATCCGCATGTTATAGAAGTTACTATATTTATTATCAATATTACTTTTTGATACGGCGGCTGTGCTTGCGAATACGCTATCACGATATGAATTTCCTTGCAAAGGTACTTAACGAAAGTTTTAATGTCTTGTTTCTTAATGTAAAAAAAGTATGAAACACAATACAATTTGTAAATATGAATAATTTCAACTTAACTAGTTACATCATGAATGACTATTAGTGTCCGAAAGTTTTTATCTTAGGAAATAGATTCGGAAATAAATCGCGTTATGTCTGTCAAATAAAAAAACGAATAAAACGTCTTTTCGAAGCTCAACTTTCGCGTATAACTTTTTTACTATCTATGTTATACAAAGCAAAATTCAACTGCGCAATTTCTTATGTAATACATAATGAGATGCAAGCACGAAACCTTGATGACGTTTATATAAGTATTATAATTTTAATTGTAACGTAGTATCTAACGTCTCTAATCGTAGTTCTTAAAATTGCAGTTCTAAGATTTATATAGAGTGCAATTATAAGTATACAATATACGTAGTCATTAATAATTATAACATATGACTAGTGTATGGCGTTGTCATTTTATTTTCACACAGTATAGACTGTATATGTAGAGTAAAGCTATCATCGCGTCATGCCACTTTAGATCAGACAATAATACCGGATCACTTGGCATTTTATTGTGATAAATATTATATTTTATGCTAAATAACAAATATCCTTAGAGTTGTATTTATGTTTTCTTCATGAAAGCTTTCTTGATCATTATTTGTTTTTTCTTTGGCGAGAATAAGATGACACATACATGTGATTACAGTTTATTAAGCCAAAAAAACCGGAAAGACAAATATCGTGTTTACAGTTTTTTTTATCACATTTAACATAACTTTTTTTTCGAACACGCATCTCGTAGTTGTCAGTTTTTTTCGTCGATGGAGTTCTGACATTTCATGCTGAGTGTTAGTTTTCCATTATTGCAGTATTCAAATTGGTATTTAGATATATATATGAAACACGCATGAAATGCGGATTACAAATGTCGGATAACAATTGAAAGAGAAACAGTGGTGCGCGCAATTTGTATTATTCCGTCTTGTGTGCAAATGCATACAATGACGAACAATTTACGTTATGTAACAAACACTGCTCTCGTAATCAATTTCCACATATAACATTCGTTTACAAATAAATAAAATATAGGTTTCTGAATTACAAGTTTGGAGATCACGGCCACTTTTCGAGGAAGTTCCATGACATTTCATGTTGACTCATAGGTTTTGCATTATTGATGCATGCGTAAGCGCGATCTATGTCAATATCTCAACTGTCTATAAGTGAGCTGTGATAAAATGTCTCCTAAAAAAAGAAAATTCTCGATACTGGTTCTAGCAATAATAATCATCATTTTGCATTACAAATTTAAGAAGTATCTATATGTGCACTTTGCACAAAAAAAGAAAGATTGTGTATTCTGCAATAAATCGATAAAATTATGTTTGACAAAATAATTATTGTCGAGGGAACTTACAGTCGCAATTTTCTTTTCTAACTTCTAATTTTTCTTCGATATCTTTACCATGAATTAAATACACGGTCACTGTTTCTTCGGCACCAAAAAACGTTTTAAATGTGTACAAGTATAAAAGCTAAACATATGTACATATCGAATACATATACACATGTATAAAAGCAAGCGTAATTATTTTGTGCGCATCAAAATGTATAATACTAAAAAAATTGTGGAACATTCTAATATTATTTACGATAATATAAAAAATATTAAAATTACAGAATTGGAGAAATTCAAGACAAAAGAGTGAGCAAATTGTGAAGAACAAATGATAATCAGTAATAAATGTATATTTATCGCATACGAATAAATAATCGCACTATATGTAATAATTACTTTACGTGATGTTTCTACTTAATAACTTAAGTTATTAATTTATACTAAGCAAATAACATTTTTTATGTTTGAATCAAAAATAAAAGCGATGTTACTAATATAACGAGAAGTTTTTAAAAATATATATATATATATATATATTCATCTACTACAGATAGTATATATTATATATTTATCTACTACATAGAGAAAAAAAAGACAAATAAATTTAAATGTAATTAAAAGACAAATTATATGAAAATATTAGTTTTTTTATATAATTTTTTTTTTTTTTAATTTCAGTAAACTTTTTGTTTCAAAGACACATTGTATATGTATAAATTTAATCTCACAATTTTTGCGTGAAACTTTGAAACGTTTTTCAAAAATTTCTTTGTATAAGTTAAAAAAAAAAAAACAATTTGAAACGTACTCACACAAGCAAAAAGTCTTAATAACGATTGTTAAGGATCAATATCACAACGATTACTGTCTGCGATGCATAGTAAAATTGTATAGTTACCCGATTATTATGAATCAGCACTATTTCTGTAGGCTATAAGTCACATCGAGAAACTTGTAATACAGAGATATATCACCGTGTACGTCGGAAGTAAGTATTTGTAAGGTAACTGTCACGAAATAGTGACAGTTGCTTTGTGACCGCGATCATACGAGCATCGCGCTCATAAAAGAGTCCCTAGGTAATGTGACAGTTTTCATCATTGCGCACATAAAATCTCTTTGTTCGTTGTGACGTTTGGAATTTCAAAACTTTCGAACAATTATTATTAATAGTTTTTTTTTTTACATAAATCAATTACGTTCTAAACTTATCTGAAAATTGTGCATTGTGCTACACACAAGCTTCAAAGAAACGTGCAGTTGCATCCGCACGTTGTTTTAAATACATCTTTTAATGCCGCATATGCCAATTTCAATACCGCACTACCAGTATCACACGTTAACATCAAAGAAAACAAAACATTGTTTAACAATAGCAATGTTTCTTGATTTTCTCATTACACAAGGTGTTTGGAAGATAGCTCGCAATATTTCGGAAAGTGATTGGGGATCCAAAAAGAAAGAAAAACTTTATAGGTACAAAAATACATCGTTTCCGAGTTATAGGAAACGATGTATTTTTCGATTAACGATGTATAAATTCACATTTACATCCGCTTCGGCATACCTCTATTTTTTCTTTATTTAATTTTTCAATTCTTATTTTGTATTTCTCACTTTTTTCAATCTTTTGTTATTTGTAAAAACGATTACGTTATATTTAAAATCAAGGATAAACATAAACAAGTATTTAAATCAAAGTAAATATGATGTTCAAAATGACCACCTTCAGCACGCATGCAGGCTTTTATTCTTCTATCAAAATAAAGTTATTTGTGTTAAACGACAATAAAATAAATTATGATTATTATGATTATGATTATGAGAAGTAAATTACAATTTTTTATTATAAAAGCGGCTATAATTCAAACCAACTTATTTCTGAATCTACGTTTATAAAGTTTTTTGTTCTTCTTTTTGAATTCCCAACCACTTCTGAAAATATTGCGAGCAATTTTTCAGACATCCTGTATAAAAAATATTACTTGTAAATTTACGGGGAGAGGTAACAGCTGTAATATATCATATACATAATGTCACGATTGTGCAGTTCTTCGTTTAGTAAATAAGTGATCTAGAAAATAACGGAGCTCACTTTAACACATAAATTAAATGCATTTGTTATATGCACATAGGATATAATCTATAATTATCTCTAAACGATCATTATTGATGTATTATTTGTGATACAGTAATACAGATTTAAGCGACGACGTGCGTTTTGATCACACAAGGAATATCATTGAGAACCAATCACCGCGATTCTGATTTCTATTCCACACGGTTGTGGAAGTGAAACACATGGTAAATAAAACACACATGACCTTTTTACATGTTTACAAGAACAAAAATGTGTCTACAAACAAGAGTTAAATGCATATTGTATCTGATTTTAACACAAAATCAGATACGTGTCTTAAGCTATACGTCATTATTGTTGTGTATTTATTTAATTAAACAATTATCCAACAAACTGAATATCGGATTAACAGCAATGAGTTATTCTAATTTTTGGCAGGAATCACGCGAGTTTACCGTGGAGAATAATGTGTATATAGGACCGGTGGTTAATTACACAAGTGTTTATAAAAACGTTGGACATATGATATGGGATAAACTTAATAGCTACAGAAATAAAATTGCACATGTAAGTCCATTTCTCTCATAATTTCTATTTGCTATCACAAAACGAATAAACGATATTATTGTTGCAACGGTTTTTTAAAAGTTTCCGATAAATTAAAAATAATCGTTTCTAGATACGAATCAAGCATACGATATAGATTTTTGAATTGATTTGTAATTCGACTTATCATGTCTGTATTAGACCGCTCGGCCAACCTAGCTTCGACTATCATGTCTGTATTAATTTATACATTTAAAAAACCTATTTTGTATGTAAACATTCAGCGGCTTTACACTTTTTTATTTCGCTAGTACAACTGAGAACGAGGCGTACGACCTATACATTTTCCATATTTCTACTAACATTGCAGTTGGACGCGCGTACGGAAGATACGGTCAGCTATGAGGAACTGCAAATTAAAACTGTGAAATGCGCGTTGTGGTTGAAACAGCAAGGTATTGGACACGACGACGTTGTCAGCGTATGCAGCAACAACCATTTTAATTCAATCGTGCCGTGCTTATCGGCGACTTATGTTGCTGCAATCTTTAACACACTGAACGAAGACATGGATTTGCGTCAGTATAATATACTTACAAAAACAATAAGTGAGAAATTTAATCGCAAAAAGTAAAAAAACAGTTCTTGTATGCCGCAATTTATTTTCAGCAACCGCATTGCATTGCATAAAACTGATTAAGCCCAAGGTGATCTTCTGCACCGCGAAGCCTTTGGATGTAATTCGTAAAGCGCTAAAAGAGACAAATTACAACATCAAAGTAGTAGTTTTCGACGATAATTCCGACGCGTTTTCGTTCTCTGATATCTTGAACGGTTACAACGACGCGGAAGTAGCAAATTTTCGATATGTCGAGCACGACAGCTTGAAAAAAACTGCGTGCATTTTGCACTCGTCCGGCACCACGGGAATGCCAAAAGGAGTCGAATTGTCCAATTACACTTTGTTGAACTTGGCTTCGGACAACACCATAGACATGAACAACTTAGTGACGCTTTGGTTCTCGTCTCTTTATTGGATCAGCGGAGTATTTCTGAATTTGAGAGCAGTCGCGCACGGCGCCAAAGTGCTTCTGTACCCGGTATTCGACGAGGAAATGACATGCGTGTTGATCGAAAAGTTTAAGGTGAGAGAAATTAGAAGAGTGGCGAAAAATAACGACGCTTGAGAATAAATACTTCATGTTTTCTTGACGTTTTCTTACTTGTGAAAGATGTTTTTTTGAGAACTGAGTATAGTTGTCTTGCTGCAAGCAATATATTACTAACAGAACCAAAAAGATATTAATGATTTCTGATTACAAACTAAGAATCGATAATTTGGTAGTCCTTATAGTTATTGAATCGTATTTTCAAGAAGCAACACTATTATGTTGTTTAACAGTGCGTCTGTCACACAAAGTAATTGACGTATTTTCGAAGAGTCTTTAAAAAATTTTATTATTTTATAATTGCATCACACGCATCGCGACGTTTAAATGTTAGTCATAAACCACATATATTCACAGTATAAAACATACACTTTTGCGGTGCAAAGTACACATTACATCAATAATTATATAAGTATGATAGTTGCAAAACAATAAACAATAATTTTTGTTATTATTGCTTCAGGTAAACGTAATATTTTTAAGCACGAGTATGATGAGTCGATTTCTTAAGGCCGGTTATGTAAAGAACTATTCATTATCGTCTTTGAAAGTTATACTTGTCGGTGGTGCGATTCTTAANCCGAGTGTGCAGGAGGATCTAAAAACTCTGTTACCGCACGTCAATATAATTCAAGCCTACGGTATATCATTCAAATCAACTATTAGCGGTGTGTGTAATGCGATGTGTCTGACGTTGCAAATTGTCACGTTGTCTTTTACGTTCTATAGGTATGACGGAGCTCGGTGGAATCGCGACGGTGCAAAAGCCCTATCACAAGAGCGGATCCTCCGGCGTGGTGACCAATAATGTGCAACTAAAGATCGTGGATCCGGACACTGGTAAGGTTCTGGATCCGAATCAGTCGGGTGAGATTTGGATAAAGTCGGCAAACATGATGAACGGCTATTACAATAATCCTGAAGAAACGAAGAAAACGATTGACAAGGACGGTGAGGAAAATTAAGTAATACAAATCACTTGTATAAGAGAAATATCTGATAAAAGTACACTGACTCGTTCCGCGTAAGTAGAAGTGTTTTTTTAACACGATAATTTCTTTTCAAACGACCGACAAGAGTCGAAAACCAATGGAACGAAGAAAAACACTTCCTTTTTGTTTCGCGCGAAAGATTCAGAGCCAGATAAGTCGTACGTAATTACATTAATATTGATTTAACTAATAATCCGTACTAATACTTGTTCCAGGATGGTTGCACACAGGCGACATCGCGTACGTCGATGAGGACGGAGAACTGTTTATTTGGGACAGAATAAAAGAGCTCATGAAGTATAGAGGTTATCAAATCTCACCCAGTGAAATCGAAGCGGTATTACATACTCATCCAGCGGTGTGCGAAGTCGCGGTAGTTGGAGTGCCGCACGAAATAGACAACGACCGACCGCTTGCTTTCGTTACCAAAAAGCCTGGCGTCAAGGTGCGATATCACTGCGCGTATGGCAACTCTAGAGAAATTGAAAGTTACTTACATTGCAAATAAATAAGATCGCAAATATACTGTAAATATTCAAGTCGTGCGGTGTTGTTGGATAATGATAGTTCTGCATACATGTTGTAGGTGTCGGAGCAGGAGTTGTTCGATCACGTGGCGAACAACATGATGGATCAGTACAAACTTCGTGCTGGTGTTATATTCCTGGACAATTTTCCATACACGGGGTCTGGAAAAATTTCGAAAAAAGAATTGAGAGCGATGGCTAAAAAACTAGTTGCAGGCTGACAAGTTGAAAAAATCTAATTAACATAAAAGTAAATTCATTAGTACAGTAATATTCATATATTCGCGAGATAAACATGCGCTGGCGATAAAACAATAAGAAAAATAATAAAAAATCGATTTTCACGGTGAAATTTTGCACTGTGTAATGCCATACATGTGCTTAGAAGTTTCTTTTTCTATTTTGCTCTCTTTTTTTTCGCGGAATTAATATATATGAAGGATTTACTGTACAATGAATTATAGCGAACTTTCGTATAACGGTGCAGGATTGTACAGATTCAAAACGATATGGTGTTAAAAAGTTTTCTTGTTTACATCACAAAACGTTCTTGTTACTCGAGAGCCATGACAAACAAGTACAAACTCGATGTCATGCATCTTACGTTATCTTTTCTTTGTTATAGTTTAAATTATCAATAAGTAAGTAGATAAAACCAAAGTATAAATAGATTAGGTAGAGGAAAGAAGTTCTCTTTACGCGCGTATTACTTGACAAGAATATTGAACTTTATCTCTTCTTTTATTACTGTCTTTACTATGCAGTATTCATTTTAACGCTCACCGATGCGTTAAAGAAAAAATATTTGTTTTCTAGTTTCTTTTTTATTTATTCTCTTTTTATTTATTCTCAGAGTTTTAATTCGAGCTATTTACAGCTTTAACATAGATATATTTGTACAGAAGAATAAACAATTACAAGAACGATTACGAGATTTAATGGAGTTCTGATAAAAAAAACGATTGTGCCGTTGGAGAAAAAGCTCTCAGAATTATCTTAAAGTACTTTAGTTTGACAAGTGGTCTTGCTCATTTAACCATGACTGTATGAACAAATCTAATGTTTCTAGGAACAATTACGTGCTATTTAAAAAACTTAGATTTTATTTTATTTAAACAAACAATTGTTTATAGTTGCAAATCTAAACGACAATTTTACACAGCACGTTTTAATTTAAGAATATCTTTTGGATGTTTAGTAAAAGTTGAATATCCAGAAGATGTATTCAGCGAACAGTCGTTGAGTCTTTATATGAAAAATCTTAAGATTAGTAATTTGCTTTCACTCGTACTATATGAGAAACTTGACGAGAATGTGAAAAAATTTAAACTGCAATTCTGCGCGCAAATCGCCGTCTTTTTGACGACAATTGTCCGTTTTCGACAGATTATATTCTGAAAAAAAAAAACTATCTGCGGAGTTACGGTTCGCGAATTGCGTGCAATTCTCGAATGAGAATTCAGTGCGCACGGTGCACGATTTTCTTGTGTTTTGAGAGTACCTCTTTCCACGTTTATTGAACACAAAAACAATACAACAGATAAGTGCATAATCTTACCGGGCAATTTTGATCAGCTCGTCAGATGTTATTTATTACGCAATAACGCGCCGGGCGAATTGTTCGCGATTGCTCGATATAGTTACGCTCTGTATCACTTTCCGCAGAAAACCGTAGTACATCACGCACCTTGCTTACGGATCGTCTACCATAACGAGACACTGGCGCAGAATTGCATTTTACGTGAAAGTAACATCTCACACCAGTCCCGTGTAAACAACACTTTTGCGTTTTATTCACATGTTTGCTTGAAGTTGTAAAAAAATTTGATGAACACAACATAAATGAATGTTACTACACTGTTGTAAAGTTATTAAAAATAAAATGCATCTAAACAAAAAATATTATTGTAAAGCATATTGTAGAAATAAAATTAATCTTTCGCACATTTTCACTTTATGTTCCGATCTGAGTGATGACTCGGTCGAAAATTCCAGCAATTTGTGTAAAACCATGAGATCTACGTGGCTCGATTCGTTTGCAGAATAAAAACTGTGAACAGCGTGTAATTGTTTTGTTGAAAATTATAAAGAAATTTTCTATATTCAAGTTCTTTGCGTGTATCTTTAGTTTTTCGTTTCGGCGTGTGCGCGAGTGTGCTTCTCTGTACGAAGAAGTCCGGCACGAGTGCGGATTTTGTGAATGAAGTGAAATATGTGTAGTCTTATGAAATAATCGTTCAAATTTGATTGGTGCTCTCATGATGTAAAGTAACCGAGAGCCGTAACTGAAATCGGCGCTAAGATCGACAGCTCGTTGGGTGAAAGCCGACCGAGTCAGCATGCTCGCTTTAGTCGGCACTCGGATCCAGAAGATTGTGCACGGATTTCCGACTAAAGTCGGAACAAAAAGATTACGGAGGATAAAGTTGAATATTGTATTAAGGTATTTATTTGGAGCCAAAATTAATAAGATCAGTTAAGACTAAAATTTCATCACAGCTTTGTTTCATTTTTTCTTTTGCTTTTGGCAAAACTTTCGTTTCAATTACATTGTATATCTACACATTTCATTTGATAATTTGTGCGTGACGTTAGTATTCTTGAACAATTTCTTTGTACACTTTAGAAAACGATTTGAAAATTACCGAAGAGCCATAACAAATTGATTATTAAGAATTGATCGTTCATTATCACTTGTGTAACTTGTATGATATAGATTATGTGAGTCAGCATTATTTCTCTTTAGATCATAGTTCACCTAGGGAATCTTTGTAATAGAGAGATGCATCACTTTGAATTATCTGCCTGAAGATTATTGCAAGATAGCGACAGTTGTTTTCTGACCGCTTCCGTACGAACATTGTTACAAGAGTCATTTAAAAAATCAACAGGTAATGAAACAGTTTTTATTCTTGCGCACATGAAGTATCTTTATTCGTTGTGACGTTTGTCTTGACGTTGATTTCTAAAATTTCGAACAATTATTATTATTGGATTTTTTTTCATAAATCAATTACGTTTATAAAAGTTACCTACAAACTATAACTATATACAAGCATCAAATTTTAAGCCTCGATGAGAAACTTGCAGTTGCAATGTGTCAAAACGCCGCACATGTCAATTTCGATAATGCACAACTATAATATCACGCGTCAACGACAGATAAAACAGCACATAATTATTTTATTTTCATTATCAGATAATACGCTCTTTTGTAAATTTACGAAAAGATAACAGCTGTAATATATAGTATACATATTGTCACAATCGAGTAGTACTTCAATAAAACACAGAGAGATCAAATAACGGAGTTTTCTGGTAACTCATTTTAACTAATATTAGTTACGAGTCCTAACTTATATTTGTGCGTGATATTATTTATATTAAAACTTATATTCCAAAAATTATATTGTAGGTTTTAAAAGTTTTACATTATTACTGTAGATTTTGTGCAAAATATCCGGTATCATTGTCGATATAATGTCGTTGCTATTGACATTATTTAGTTTTGTTGCAATCGATCTCTGTCGCTCAGCCTTATGATATGTTCCGCGCAATTTTTCGAAAAGACAGAATTATATCTGAATTAAAACGTATTTGTTTTTTCTAAGATACTCACTCTTAAAAAAATTGTGTCTAAGAAATGTCTATATGCAATAGGAAAGTAAATTTACAGCTTCGTGAAATTTTCAAATAAATATTAACGTTGAGAAGCTCTTGGATTTGGTCTTTCTCAGTGGCAGTATATATCACAAATTAAGATAAGCTTTGCATCAGTGTCTGGATGTGAAGGTTTATAAGGAACTTTTTCTTGAAATCACAGAAAACAAACTCTATTGAGAAAGAATATAATATGTTCCATCCGAAAAACACTGATGAAGGATCGAAACGTATGGCAACAATAAATAGCATCGGTTAAATTACAAACGACATCTTGCATTGCTTCGTATTTGCCCTCTCAACGTTAATATTTATTTGAAAATGTCTATGCTATTCGAACATGTGTTAAATATCTTGTTTGATTGTATCTTGTTACACTTCGCTGTCGGCTTGTTGCGTAAAATTTGAAACGAGATACTACTATGTTTTTTTTTTTAACCTTTTGACTGCGTAAAGCGCCTTTAGGCGCTCGATGAGAGATGAGTTGCATTCGGATACATCACTCGTGTATATTTTATCTTTATTGCTTATTAGATATAAAACAAAAATAGAAATGACGCTCGTGTCTACACAAGTGGTGTTTCCGAACGTGACGATGCGTAAAGTATCGCTCGATTGGCGCGTTTTTCTTTCTGAGCGTCCCGCAGTCAAGAGGTTAATGCAACGTAATTCTCCACATACAACGTTATCACTTGAGATAAAAATGATCTTAAACAGTTGCGTAAATGTATTTGCTATATATACGTAGGATACAATCTGGACTCCGAGTGGTCGTCATTCAATTATTATTCGCGATAAAGTAAAACTGCTTTAAGTGCTCTTTGCTCACGCAAGCTTCTGTTATTTGTAGACCACCTGCGATTCTGCTTTCAATTACAAATAGTTGTAAAAGTAAACTACATGGTAAGTGAAAAACATGATTTTTCTATATGTTTAAAAACGCGAAATAACTACACGTTTTAGTGTAAACATGTTAGAGACAAAAAAAAATACCTGTCTTATTAACAAGTCACCTTTGTTGTTGTATTTATTTAATTAAAAACTTAATCAACAAAATTTTGACACATAACAACAATAGTACGCGTTTACAACTCGCAGATTGCAGCCTTTTTGACGACAATACAAAGACAATCACATTTATTTTAATTTTTGCCAGGAATCTCGCAGTTTTATCGTGGAAAATAATGTCTATAAAGGACCGGTGGTTAATTACACAAGTACCTATAAAAACATCGGACACTTGATATGGGATAAACTTACTAGCCATGGGAATAAAATCGCACATGTGAGTTTATTTCTCTTATAATTTCGATTTGATATTTTGCATGTAGACATCCAGCAACACTTTTATTGATTTTCTTATTAGTTCCCTTGTACAGTTAAATATTAACAAAAGCCGCGTACAATCTGTACAAAACTTACATATTTCTAATATTATTAATATTATAATATAATATTATTACAGTTGGACGCGCGTACGGAAGAAACGGTCACTTATAAAGAACTGCAAGTCAAAACTGTGAAATGCGCGTTGTGGTTGAAACAACAAGGAATCGGACGCGACGATGTGGTCAGCGTATGCAGCAACAATCACTTTAATTCAATCGTGCCGTGCTTATCAGCGACTTACGTTGCTGCGATCTTTAACACAATGAATGAAGACATGGATTTATGTGAGACATTGATTTGTACATTATACTTACGAGACAGTTGTGAAATGTAAAAACCATTACTTTACGTGTTAGGTATATACTGCAATGTATTTTTAGCTACCGCATTGCATTGCATAAAACTGGTTAAGCCGAAGGCAATCTTTTGCACTGCGAAGCCTTTGGATGTAATTCGTAAAGTGCTAAAAGAGACAAATTACAACATCAAGGTAGTAGTTTTCGACGATAATTCCGACGCGTTTTCGTTCTCTGATATCTTGAACGGTTACAACGACGCGGAAGTAGCAAATTTTCGATATGTCGAGCACGACAGCTTGAAAAAAACTGCGTGCATTTTGTACTCGTCCGGTACCACGGGAATGCCGAAGGGAGTCGAATTGTCCAATTACACTTTGGTAAACTTGGCTTTCGAGGAGTCCGTTGACGTAAACGAGGTAATGCTTTGGTTCTCGTCTCTTTATTGGATCAGCGGAGTGTTTCTGAATTTGGCAGCAATCGTGCATGGCGGTAAAGTGCTTTTGTACCCGATATTCGACGAAGAAATGACGTGCATGTTGATCGAAAAATTCAAGGTAAGAGCAATGAAAAAGGTGACAAGAGATAATGACGATAAACTAAATAACTTTATCTTTTATAAAACAAATATGTTTGCGGTATCATACTACGTAAATAATTCTGTGTTCGACATTTACAAAATAACAAATATAATCATTATTATTATATTTTTTAGGTGCACACGATTGTTTTAAGCACCAGTATGGTCAGTCGATTTCTTAAGGCTGGATACGTAAAAAATTACTCACTACCGACTTTGAAAATTCTTTATGTCGGCGGCGCGATTCTCAAGTCGAGTATGCAGGAAAATCTGAAGAATTTGTTACCGCACGTCGAGATACTTCAAGCTTACGGTATATCGTTTAAAGATATGTGAAACGCGTGTCTGTCATCGCAAATTATCATGGTGTATTTTATATTTTTATAGGTATGACAGAAGTCGGAATTGCGACGCTGCAAAAGTCGAAGCACAAGAGCGGATCTTCCGGTACGGTAGTCAATAATATGCAACTAAAGATAGTGGATCCGGACACTGGTAAGATTCTGGGTCCGAATCAATCGGGTGAAATATGGTTGAAGACGACAAACATGATGAACGGCTATTACAATAATCCTGAAGAGACAAAAAAAATAATTGACAAGGACGGTAAGGAAAATTAAGACACATAGATGATCTTTGTAAGAGACAGATTTGGTAACTATACACTGTTTGACATTAACTTGTTCCGCGTATAAGATGGAGTTACCTTGTAACGTTATTTCATTCCAAAGCGAACGACTGGACAAGTAAAACAACAGTAGAAGAAATACCTTCTTCTTTTCTCGCGCGGAAAGATTCGAATCAGTGTACGCAATTTAAATTATTATATACTTTAACTAATTATAATATAAAAATTATAATTTAAGTAATTATAATGTAACTAAGTAATAGTCTGTACTTAAAGTCCGTACTAAAACTTGTTTCAGGATGGCTGCACTCAGGCGACATCGGGTACGTCGATGATGATGGAGAACTGTTTATTTGGGACAGATTAAAAGAGCTCATGAAATACAGAGGCTATCAAATCTCACCTGGGGAAATCGAGGCGGTATTAAGTACACATCCAGCGGTGTATGAAGTCGCGGTAGTGGGAGTGCCGCACGAATTAGACAACGATCATCCGCTTGCTTTTGTTACCAAAAAGCCCGGCGCCAAGGTGCGATATCATTGCACATTCTTGCGGTGTTGCTGGATGATGATAGACTTGTGTTTGTATACATGTTGTAGGTGACAGAGCAGGAATTAATCGATTACGTGGCGAACAATATGATGGATCAGTATAAACTTCGTGGTGGTGTCGTATTCTTGGAAAGTTTTTCATATACAGGATCTGGGAAAATTGCAAGAAAACATTTGAGAGCTATGGCTAAGACACTAGCTGTAAAGTAACAAAGTAAAAAAAATCCTAGTAAAATGTAATTAATTTCTTAATCGAGAATTAATACTTGATTTTTAATTTAAAAAATAATGTAGAAACTGGCCAAAATAAGAATCCAGACATTGATGTTTGGTTGTTTGTATTAATATATTTTATATGAATTTGCAACGTTTTCGAAGTTTTCAATCTAGGAATAAAGGGATAAAGTTGCTTTACCAAGCAACCTAGAAATAAATGATAAATACATAAACAAAAAATGTCAAAGAGAAAAAGGAAGATTAAAAGAAAAAATGCAACTCAGATCTCGTTACTTATTTAATCCCTGAATTCCTTAATCCGCATATTATAAAAGTTACATTATATTTATTGATCAATATTATTTAACCTTTTCGATACATTTGCTTGCAAATGCGCTATCGCGGGACACTCTCAACGCAGACGTACTTATTAAATTACACCTCGGGGGAACGTAACTTTTATTATCTCGTCCCGTAATGGCGTGTGATCCGCGTGTATGTAAAAATAATACAAACACAAGACAATCAGTAACCATGGACATTGTTACTGAGGCACTTTGCTCTATCAAAAAAAAAAAAAAAAAAATGAAATTGTGAAATTTTACCGAGTGATCAGTCACCGTTCAAATCAAGAATATATTTAAAGAGAGCGATGGTAATAATGAATATAAAAACAATTGGTTAACAAAAATATTGTTATTGATTACATAATTATAGAAAAATAGAAACAATTAAATTGAAATAAAATAGCAATGTAAACAACAGAAAATACATATATTATACTTTCATACATATTTTTTTTTGTTTTTAGTAAAACTCGTTTCAAACTTTTGTAAGTTTTTCGAAGCTTTCTTTGCACAAAGTAGAAAACAATTTAAAAAGTACTGAATAGTCTAACAAACAATTGTTAAAAATTGATTTGTTAATATCTGAACGATTACTATATGACATGTACTAAAATTGTATGATCTCTGATTAAATAAATCAGCACTATTTCTTTAGACCAAAGTTTACTTCAAAAACTTGTAATAGAGAAATATAGACGCTGTGTACGTCTGAAGTATTTGTAAGATAATTATCAGAAAATAATTACAGGTTCTTTGTGATCGCGTTCATACAAACATCGTTATAAAAATCGTTAAAAATATCACTAAGTAATGGAACAATTTTTGTCATCGCTCACGTAAAATATCTTTATTCTCGCTGTGACGTTTGCGATATCAAAACTTTTGAAACAGTTATTATTATTGGTATTTTTTTTCATAAACCACTTACGTTCTAAATTTTACTTACCTACAAACTATATATTCTGTATCCATCAGGTGCAAACGTCAACGACACTTAAATATGTTCTAAGGCCACACATGTCGATTCCGATAATGCAAGATTAATATCGCACGTTACCAATAGGTAAAAATAGCACATGTTTGTCTTTTTCTCATTATGTATCAAAAATACAAAATACGCTTTTGTAAATTTATGGAAAGATAAGAACTGTAATACACGGTATACATACTGCCATAAACAAACAACACTTTATTCAGTAAAACAAGTGATCTGCAAAATAAGAGTTTTTTGGTAATTTATTTTAACGCATACATAAGTCTTAACTTATATTTGTGTGTGTGATATTTGTTTATATCAAAACACTTGTATTTCTAAAATCGAGTTTGTGCAACAAATCCGGTATCACTGTCGCTATAATGTCGTTACTATTGGCAGCATACAGTTATGTAGAAATTGGTTTATTTCGCTCAGTATGATGTATAGTTCTCGCAGTCTTTTGAAAAGCCAAGACTTTACTTCTAAAACGTGTTTGTTTTCTGAGATACTTCTAAAAGAAATGTGTCTGAAAAGTATTCATAACTGTATTGAGAAAATATTACAAAAATATATAAAAACGTGGATACTGGTTGTTTGCAGCAAACACGGATGTTAATGTGTATAGTTGTAATATTAGTTTATTGAAACAAAGTCGTATAAAACGTTTTTGATTTTCGGATTAGGTCTTTTTCAATATATTGAATTTATGTAGTAGTGATCATCACATAGGTGTCAAACTTTAAGTTCATGATGTAGGAACAAAAACTTGACCATCACTTCACAAAATAACAAAGCGACTGAGAAAGAAAATATTTGCTACGATTGTTACATCTTGCTGAGTCATTTGACTTCAGCTTGTTGCGTAAAACTTAGCAAGAGACATTAACGTGTTACTTAAAATGTATACTTTATGTACGACATTAACGTGCTGCTTAAAATGTATCATTATAATTCATGTATACTGATACATTTCAAGTATCATTATACTTCATGTGTTCTGATACATTTCAAATAACACGTTAATGTCATACATGTATATTAATGTCATACATGTATATTAATGTCATACATGTATATTAATGTCATACATGTATATTAATGTCATACATGAAGTATATATTTTAACTAACTCGTTAATGTCTCTCGTCAAGTTTAACGCAACAAGTTGAAGTCTAATGACTCTCAGCAAGGTATAACACTAGTAGCAAATATTTTCTTTCTCAATCGCTTTGTTATTTTGTAAAATTGTGGTCAAATATTTGTTGAAGTCAACTGACTCAGCAAGATGTATACATGAAGTATACATGAAATATACTGATACATTTCAAGAAACACGTTAATGTTATACATGTATATCTAAAGACTACAAAAATAAAACAAGTAGTTCTCTGCAATAGCTTACAATAACTGCTATAATACTACTGTAAAAAATTTTAAAGATTAAAATTTATATGAAGCCATAACTGCCAATAAAACTGTTTTACTGTACTTGACGTTAGTGTTATGTCTAAGATGCAAATGTTTATTGATCTCAGCTGGGATAATGTATTTGCTATATGCACATAGAATACAATCTATTTTCTAAGTGATCATTATTATGATTTATTATGTGTGATAAAGTAATAATGTTTCAGGTGACGTTGTGCTATTTGCTCACGCAGGAATCTTCTATATTTTCTTTAAGAAACACATGTGATTCTGATTGCTTCTTCAAATAGTTGTTAAAGTAAACTCCATGGTAAGTAAGAAACATAATTTTTGTTTCCATGTTTGAAAGCATGAAAGAAATACACAACTTAGAAACAAAGTAAGATAACTATCTCAATTGTAAGCCAACTTTTTGTTGTCTATTTATTTAATTGAACAGTTATCCAATAACCTTCCAGCAGCAATTGTACGCGATTGCAATCTACGAAGTACAATTTGCAAATTGCAGCTTTTTCGACAACAATACAAAGAAAATAAAAGTATTTATCTTATCGACAGGAATCTCGCAATTTTACTGTGGAAAATAATGTCTATAAAGGACCGGTGGTTAATTACACAGGTACCTATAAAAGCATCGGACACTTGATATGGGATAAACTTACTAGCCATGGGAATAAAATCGCACATGTGAGTCTATTTCTCTCATAATTTCAATTTAATATTTTTCCATGTAGACATCCAGCAACACATTTAATTGATTTTCTTATTATTTTCCTTGTACAGTTTAATATAAAAAAACCCGCGTACAATCTGTACAAAATTTACATATTTCTAATATTATTGCAGGTGGACGCGCGTACGGAAGAAACGGTCACTTATAAAGAACTGCAAATCAAAACCGTGAAATGCGCGTTGTGGTTGAAACAACAAGGAATCGGACGCGACGATGTCGTCGGTTTATGCAGCAACAATCACTTAGATTCTATCGTGCCGTTCTTATCAGCGACTTACGTTGCTGCAATCTTCAATCCAATGCACGACAACGTAAATCTATGTGAGACATTGATTTGTACATTATAGTTATGAGACACTCGCAAAATGTAAATACCATTACTTTACGTGTTGTATATCGCAACTTATTTTCAGCAACCGCATTGCATTACATAAAACTGACCAAGCCGAAGGCGATCTTTTGCACTGCGAAACCTTTGGATGTAATTCGTAAAGCGCTGAAAGAGACAAACTACAACATCAAAATAGTAGTTTTCGACGACAATTCTGATGAGTTTTCGTTTTCTGATATCTTAAACAGTTACAGCAACGCGGAGATATCAAATTTCCGACGCGTCGAAACTTTTGACTTGAAGAAAACTGGGTGCATTTTGTACACGTCCGGCACCACGGGAATGCCGAAAAGAGTCGAAGTGTCCAATTACGTTGTGATAGACTGGGCTACCGCGGACATCATGAACATAAGAAACAATACGGTGTTGTGGTACTCGTGTCTTTTTTGGATGACTGGAGTGCGTTTCAATTTGGAAACGATCGTTCATGGCCGCGAAGTGCTTCTATACCCGGTATTTGACGAGGAAATGACATGCGTGTTGATCGAAAAGTACAAGGTAAAAACAATGAGAAAAGTGACAAGAAATAAGGACGCTAGATTAAATACCTTTATCTTTCTCCAGAATCTTGATTTCATTTTTGACGGTAAAACTTTTTATAAGACTACGAAACTTGACTCATATTTGTAGAAGACGTTCTGTGTAAAAATGATCAAACTTTCTCACTACAAACAAGTTAACAATGACTATAATAAAACAAAAATAGCTATTAATACTTCACGATTACAAAAATGGAAATTAGTAATTTGTCAGATTCTTATATGTAAGTTGGTATTTTTAAGTAGCACTACAACGTTGTTTAAAATTTTAGTTAAATAAACTTTAGTATTTTATATATTTTTCATAATGCATGCATTGCAATGTTTAGATGTTAAAGTGTAGAGTCATAAACAATATAAAACACAAGTATGTTTGCGGTATCCCACTACGTAAATAATTTTTTTTATGACATTCACAAGACAACAATTATTAATAATTATTATCAATAATTTTTTAGGTTAACAACATTTTCTTAAGCACGAGTATGATGAGTCGATGGTTTAAGGCCGGTTATATAAAGAACTATTCATTATCGTCTTTGAAAGTTATATTTGCCGGTGGGGCGACTCTAAAGCCGAGTGTGCAAGAGAATCTGAAGAATCTGTTACCGCACGTCAATATACTTCAGATCTACGGTATGTTGTTCCGGTACGGTATGTTGTATGATAATTGAATCGAATAGAAATACGTTAAATAAAATACGTGTCTGTAGTCGCGAAGTATCATGGTGTATCTTATACTTTTATAGGTACGACAGAATTTGGTGCTATAACGGTGCAAAATTCGAAGCACAAAAATGGATCCTCCGGCGTGGTGACCAATAATGTGCAACTAAAAATTGTGGATTCGGACACCGGCACGATTCTGGGTCCGAATCAGTCGGGTGAGATATGGGTAAAGAAAATAAACATGATGACCGGCTATTACAATAATCTTGAAAAGATAAACGAAACGATTGAAAAAGACGGTAAGAAAATTTAAAAAAGATTAACTTTGTAAAAGTAAAATTTAGTAAAAGTGTACCATTTGGCACTAAATCGTTTTGCGTATAAGAGTTCTTAATTAACACACTGTATTTTGTTTCGAAGCGAACGACTGCCAACATTCGAAAAACAAGAGTAGAAAAAATGCTTTTTTTTTTTCGCGCGAAAATTATTGTATTATTTAGTGATAATAAAATATTTAACTAAATAATAATTTGCATTTGTCATCCGTAATATAAAATTTTTTCCAGGATGGATGCACACAGGTGACATCGGTTACGTTGATGACGACGGGGAATTGTTTGTTTGCGATAGAATAAAAGACATCTTACAATACAGATGCATTCCCATCTTACCTAGTGAAATTGAGGAAGTATTAAGTACACATCCGGCAGTGAACGAAGTCGCGGTAGTGGGAGTGCCGCATGAAACAGACAACGATCATCCGCTTGCTTTTGTTACCGTAAACCCCGACGCTAAGGTGTAATATTATTGCAAGAATAGAATGAATTTAAACAAATACAATTACTAACATTACAAATAAATGAGATCACAAATATATTTTGAATAATTAATGTTTGCGGTATTGCTAGAAAATGATAGATTTGTATTTGTGAAAATGTGTTGTAGGTGACGGAACAAGAATTAATCGATCACGTGGCGAACAACATGATGGATGAGTACAAGCTTCGTGCTGGTGTTGTATTTATAAAAAATTTTCCATATACGGAATCTGGGAAAATTTCGAAGAAAGACTTGAGAGCAATGGCTAAGAAATTAGCTGTAAACTGAAAAATTAAAAAAACTCTTTAATTTAAAGTAAAATTAATTTTTTCATTGAGAAGTAACACTTAGTTTTGAATGTGAACAGTTATGTAGGAAGTAACAGTAATACGAATCGAGTCACTGGTGGTGGCTGTTATTAAATAGTTTCTAATATATGAATGTGCGACGGTTCGTTTTACGTATTAAGGTATTATCAAGCAAATTAAAGTAAATAAATAAACGGTGATTGCAAAAAATACAAATGTTAAAAAAAAAAGATTAAAATAAAAATAAACAATACAATTTAAAGAATTGAAGTTGTAATTGAAAATTTCACATGAAAAATGTGTGAGTACGTTTATCCATATGTGTACACATGTGTATACACAGGCATATTTTCCGCACAACATCCTGCGAACGGCTCTTCACTGACAATTTACATTCATTTAATCTGAAAAAGATTATAGAGCCTGAGATGATTTTCATTTAATCACTTTAATAAACAATACAAATTTTGTTACTTATTTAATACTTAAGTTAATTAATCCGCAAGTTAGAGAAGTCAAGTAATATTTGAGACTCAACATTACTTAATGAATTAATTTATAAACTCAGTAATCACGTTATATTGTTATTTTTTGTTTTTTCAAGAATATATTTGAAGAGAGCGATGCTACTAATGGATATCGAAACAATTTTTAGACAAAATAATTGTTATCGATTAAATAATTATGAAAAAATAGAAACAATTAAATTAAAATAAAATAACAATGTAAACAACAGAAAATACATATATTATAATTCCATACATGTTTTTTTTGTTTTTAGTAAAAAACTCGTTTCAAATACATTGTATATATATATTTCTTTTATCTGATACTTTATGCGTCATTTTTCTAAAGTTTTCGAAGCTTTCTTTGCACAAGGTAAAAAACAATTTTTAAAGTAGTAAAATTGTATGATCTCTGATTAAATAAATCAGCACTATTTCTTTAGACCAAAGTTCACTTCGAGAAACCACTTGTATTAGAGAAATATATCGCTATGTACGTCTGAAGTATTTGTAAGATAATTATCAGAAAATAATCACAGGTTCTTTGTGTTTGCGTTCATACAAGCATCGTTATAAGAATCGTTAAAAATGTCACTAAGTAATGGAACAATTTTTGTCATCGCTCACGTAAAATATCTTCATTCTCGCTGTGACGTTTGCGATATCAAAACTTTTGAAACAATTATTATTATTAGTGATTTTGTTACATAAATTACTTACGTTCTAAATTTTACTTAACTACACCCTATATATTGTGTATCCAAGCATCAGGTGCAAGCGTCAACGACACTTAAATATGTTCTAACGCCACACATGTCGATTCCGATAATGCACGATTAATATCGCAAGTTACCAATAGGTAAAAATAGCACATGTTTGTCTTTTTCTCAGTATGTATCAGATAATACGCTTTTGTAAAGTTAGGGAAAGATAAGAGCTGTAATACATGGGCTGCGTTTAAGGAGCGCGCTTTCAGTGCTGTTGCATCATTCTATCTTTATTGCATATTATATGTTAAACAAAGATAGAATGACGTAATAGCGCTGATAGCGTGCTCTCCGAACGCAGCCATAGTATATATACTGGCATGAACAAGCAGCATTTTATTCAGTAAAACAAGTGATCTGTAAAATAAGAGAGCTCTTTGGTAATTCATTTTAAAGCGTATATTGGTCTTAACTTATATTTGTGTGAGTATATTTTTTTATATCAAAACACTTGTATTTCGAAAATCGAGTTTGTGCAACATATCCGATATCAGTGTCGCTATAATGTCGTTACTATTGGCAGCATATAGTTATGTTACAATCGGTTTATTTCGCTCAGTATGATGTATAGTGCTCGCAGTTTTTTGAAAAGCCAAGACTTCACTTCTAAAACGTGTTTGTTTTTTGAGATACTCCTAAAAGAAATGTGTCTGAAAAGTATTCATAACTGTATTAAGAAAATATTTTAAAAATATATAAGAACGTTGATAATGGTTGTTTGAAGCAAACACGGATGTTGATGTGTGTAGTTGTAATATTAGTTTATTGAAACAAAGTCGTATAAAACGTTTTCGACCTACGGATTAGGTCTTTTTCAATATATTGAATCTATGTAGTAGTGATCATCACATAGGTGTCAAACTACAAGTTCATGATGTAGGAACAAAAACTTGACCACCACTTTACAAAATAACAAAGCGACTGAGAAAGAAAATATTTGCTACGATTGTTACATCTTGCTGAGTCATTTGACTTCAACTTGTTGCGTTAAACTTGACGAGAGACATTAACGAGTTAGTTAAAATATATACTTCATGTATGACATAAATATACATGTATGACATTAACGTGCTACTTAAAATGTATTATTATAATTCATGTATACTGATACATTTCAAGTAACACGTGTCTCGCGCCAAGTTTCACTCAACAAGCTAAAGTCAACTGACTCAGCAAAATATATACTAAAGTATACATGAAATATACTGATACATTTCAAGTAACACGTTAATGTTATACATGTATATTTAAAGACTACAAAACTAAACCAGCTCTGCAATAGCTTACAATACCTGCTATAATACTTCTGTTTTAAAGATTAAAATTTATATGAAGCAATAACTGTCAATAAAAGTGTTTTACTGTACTTGACGTTAGTGTTATCTCTGACATGCAAATGTTTATTGAACACAGCTGGGATAATGTATTTGCACTCTATCAAGTAATCTATTTCTGTATGCACATAGAATATAATCTATTTTTTAAGTGATTATTATTATGATTTATTATGTGTGATAAAGTGATAATGTTTTAGGTGACAACGTGTTATTTGCACACGCAGGAATCTTTTATATTTTATTTAAGAAACTCTTGCGATTCTGACTGCTATTTCAAATAGTTGTAAAAATAAACTCCATGGTAAGTAAGAAACATGATTTTTTTTATATGTTTGAAAACACGAAATAAATACACAACTTAGAAACAAAGTAAGATAACTATCTCAATCGTAAATCATCTTTTTGTTGTCTATTTATTTAATTGAACAGTTATCCAATAAACTTCCAGCAGCAATTGTACGCGATTGTAATCTACGAAATACAATTCGCAGATTGCAGCCTTTTTGACAACAATACAAAGAATATAAAAGTATTTACCTTTTCGACAGGAAGCTCGCATTTTTACTGTGGAAAATAATGTCTATAAAGGACCAGTGGTTAATTACACAAGTACCTATAAAAGCATCGGACACTTGATATGGGATAAACTTACTAGCCATGGGAATAAAATTGCACATGTGAGTCTATTTCTCTCATAATTTCAATTTGATATTTTTCCATGTAGACATCCAGCAACACTTTTGATTGATTTTCTTATTATTTTCCTTGTGCAGTTTAATATCAAGAAACCCGCGTACAATCTGTACAAAATTTACATATTTCTAATATTATTGCAGTTGGACGCGCGTACGGAAGAAACGGTCACTTATAAAGAATTGCAAGTCAAAACTGTGAAATGCGCGTTGTGGTTGAAACAACAAGGAATCGGACGCGACGATGTCGTCAGCGTATGCAGCAACAATCACTTAGATTCTATCGTGCCGTGCTTATCAGCGGCTTACGTTGCTGCAATCTTCAATCCAATAAACGAAGACATAAATTTGTGTGAGACATTGATCTGTACATTATGACACGCTCGCGAAATATAAATACCATTACTTTACGTGTTGTATATCGCAATTTATTTTCAGCAACCGTATTGCATTACATAAATTTGACCAGACCGAAGGCGATTTTCTGCACTAAGAAACCTTTGGTTGAAATTCGTAAAGCGTTGAAGGAGACTAACTATAACATCAAAGTGGTAGTTTTCGACGAAAATTCCAACGAGTTATCGTTCTCCGATATCCTGAACAGGTACAGCGACGCGGAAGTGGCGAATTTTCAATATGTCGAACATGGCTTAAAGAAAACTGCGTGCATTCTACTCTCGTCCGGTACCACGGGAATGCCAAAAGGAGTCGAATTGTCCAATAACACTTTGTTAGACTGGGCTTTCGAGGACATCATGAACATAAAAAACGAGGCGACGCTTTGGTTCTCGCCTCTGTTTTGGATCAGTGGAGTGTGTTTGAATTTGGGAACGATCGTGCATGGTCGCAAAGTGCTTCTATACCCGGTATTTGACGAGGAAATGACATGCGTGTTGATCGAAAAGTACAAGGTAAAAACAATGAAAAAAGTGACAAGAAATACGGACGCTAGATTAAATACCTTTATCTTTCTCCAGAATCTTGACTTCATTTTCGACGGTAAAACTTTTTATAAGACTACGAAACTTGACTCATATTTGTAGAAGACGTTCTGTGTAAAAATGATCAAACTTTCTCACTACAAACAAGT